TACTAGATGTGGACCTCTCTCAGATTTGTTCATTTCGTGATGATATCTTTAATTCTCTAATTTTAATGAATATTTTTTTAATTTTTGGTAAAAATATGATATTTTCGACATCTTGTTAAAAAACGCAAGTCCAATTGCTTTTATATTACATATATAGGTACTACATGTGGACCTCTTTCAGATTTGTTAATTTCGTGTTGATATCTTCAATTATCTAATTTTGATGTTTATTTTTGTTATTTTTGATGAAAACTGATATTTTTTATTTCTTGTTGAAATCAGCAAGTTCGGTTGCTTTGATACTAGACATATTGTTCATTTTCTAATGATATCTTCAGTTTTTAATTGAAATGTGCACTGCTAACAGCAGTGCTATCTCAGCCGACAGGCTGCTTGTTTTTTTTGTTTTTTTTATTCGCGAAATGTATCACTGGCAGCGTTTGTTTTGTCATGTCTCACAACTGAAAGTGCAAGCTGACTTTGTTTTGGCTGTAGGTATAGGTCGGTCGAGATGTCTAGGGGTAATATGTCGAGTTGTCCCATGAAAAACGGGTCGAGATTTTTTTGGGTCGAGATGTCCAGTACCCATTTTTGGAGGTTATTGTAAAAGCCTTAAGTTAATATTGCTTAACCACGCTCGATTGTCAGGAATTACTTGTTGCTATTCAATTCAAGCAATTCCAGTGTAGACCGCAGGTATACGATGAACGCAAGCCCCCCCCTCACATATATACTCCAGATGCATCATTGGCACGTTCCTTAATTACTGAATGGATGTACACAAGGCATGTGGACCTCCATGCAGTCGGGTTACACTTACTTGTTCTGTAGCTGACAAATCTTGCCACTTGACTGTTACTCGGCAAGCGTGGGGGTATTGGCGACTTCCTACTAACGATACAAAATACTGAAGGGCGAGATATCGCCGAAAATCTGAAGACTGCATTCGAAATACTTCTGATGGACGCTGCCATTTTGTTTGTTGCTAAGGGTTCTGGGAACAAATTTTATACTAATTTAAAGTGAATAGTACGAGTTTGTAAACAAGTTGTGCGTTCTATTTCAATGCAACGAAAAAAATGAATTTAAAAAATTGATTTTTTTTTACACACATACATTTCTTAACAAACGATAAAGTGACCCGGAAGTACAAGTTACGCAGAGGGCGAGCTCCACTACTACTGAATTTTGAAATTGTTTTCTCTGATATCAAAGACGTTCGAAAACTAATGAAATTATTGTCTCATGACATAAGTACAAACATGTAGCAGAATAACTGAAACCATGATGAAAGCAGTGCACAAATGGAAGAAGCATGACGCACTCAATGTTCGGGAAATGGACGTTTACATTTGCCGGAATTTCTTATAGTAGTAATAATGTTATCAATGACAACCGAACCAGTCTCACACTGTCACCTAGAAAGTGGCGTTTTATATAGCCATGATCCAGCGGGGGAAACGAAAATACGGTACATGTACATGTTTTCGCGGGATGCTTTTCAGCAATAATGTATACGGAGTGTAAGTCTGTCAGTTGTAGCAGCTGTCATAACGCATGTCAATGGAACCAAATCCCTTTTCATGCAAATTATGTATTTAAGTTATACGTGTCAAGGCATAGTATATTCATTTTATAATAAATGATATTCACGTGACTGTCGATGAACTGAGAAACTCACTGGAATGGGAAAATCAACATACGATTTAGGACCGTCAATGCTAAATCTTACACTGATGATATATACTGAAAACAGGACGGCGTGATTGTTAATCCATGTGTGTGTACTATATTTACTTGTGGGAATCCAGCCAGCTGACATACACTAATGCATATCGCCAACATTTCGCTATTTCGGGTTCAGGGCCTGCTTAGAATGTTTGATCGAAATGTGGCTGTTATCAACAACAGTCGATGCAGTTATAAACTGTACAGTGTTGTTGGTGTATTTTTAGTATCAATTTTTGTGACTTTTACCATTATTTACAACTGCTTCAAGAGCAGTACTCTACTCTACACATTCAATGAAAACGATGTTGCGCTGTATGCCCCGTATCTACCAAGTCCTAAATTAAAAGTAAACACTAATGATGTTTACGCCGTTATGTTTGATGCTGGTAGCACGGGATCACGAATACACGTTCTACATTTCGTGGAAGATCAAACTGCAAGTAAGTTAAATTTTATATTATTGATAATTGTATTTTTATTTTTTGTATCTGTATTACTCCTGTTTTTTCCCGCTTAGATAGAAATGTCACTATATTTTTTTACGTTGTTGTAATACAGTCTGATAAAAATCTGCAATTCTAACTTGTATCTTGATTTTTAAAAAAACAAACAGATTCCCATTTGCGATTGGTAGCTTCCGTCTTTGAACAAGTTAAGCCAGGTTTGTCATCCTTTGCGGAGAATGCAACTGAGGTAGGTATAGTTGTTTAATGCATTTTGGGGTGCAGGTGAGAGGGAGTGTGTGCACAATAACTTCTTTGTGATAATAATAATAATAATCTTTATTGAAACCATATCCCGGAGTAGGATCTTAGTTGAAAATACAATACAGTAGAAGCTATATCTGTAGCTCCATAAATGAAAGCATGTTGTTATTTTACAGTATCTGCTTATCCTACCATATTTAATTGAAATCTGACATAAAACTCGCAAGACTACCAGCTAATATACAATTGATTGGTAAATGTGACAGTTTTAAAAATGTAGTATGACTGAACATCCGACGATGGCTCCAATCGTTTGTTTTCGAACTGTTACACAAAATGCATATAGTTGAGTTGTCCTGCACCCAGCTACAATGAATTCCATGAAGGCATGAATGTTTTTGTTTTTTTTCAAAATACTGTAGAATACTTTATTTTCGCTTGGAATTTATTTTCGCTATTTTCGCTGAAGGGATGATTCCGTAAAAATAAAATCCAGCGAATATACTTTTTTTCCTATATTTCACATTAAACTCATCAGAAATCAGTGAAAAATAATTCCAGCGAAAATAAAGTATTCCACAGTAAATTTTTTCTTATATTTAGCACAAATGCACACACCACCCATGTATAATATTTTTTGCATGCATGGTTGTAAATCGAAAAAACTCGCAAACTAAACTCGCAGGTATAGGATGTCACAGTCATGTCTAGTAAATAATGAATAAGATACTTGGAAATGATTTCATGAAGAATGAAATAAAATTTCAATCTGTGAAAACATTGGATTTTAATCGGGTCATAAATTGATGGACAATTGTTTGATTGATATGGTTGTCACATAAGTAGGTTAGGCTGAGGAAAAATATATCTCCACGCGCATCGTTTTGAACTATGCGCCTCAGACGTTTTTTTTCCTTCCTTTAAAGCATTTCAAAATGCACTTGTTTCAATCAAATTTCCTTTATTTTAGCTCAGTATTAAAAAAAAAAAAAAAAAAAAAATCGCCTCGCCACTTCCTGGCCTTATGGTTTTCTGCGCGAGTCATATACTACTAGTATAAAATAGCATTTCTGAATAATAACTTGTAATATTTATTCTGACTTTTGTGGTACTTCAATAATTCCTAGTTTTTTAAAACTGGTTGAGAAATACATTGTACATAATTTTTTTTTATTGCCCAGACATGTACCAATATATAATTCCACAAATAAAGTCAGAAATGTTCCAAGGTTATTCATGCTGTTCAATGTCTAAATCATTTCTATACCATTTTGTTTGATACCAATAAATTCTGACATGTATAACTGCCTTATAACTTGGTCTAGATGCTCCGAGTTGCTCCATGCATGACTATACCAAGAGAAAATTAGAAATGTTCTACAAATTTAGGGAGAGTATATACCGGGGGTACTATAAATAAAGGTCATTTTCCCCCCAAAAAATGGTAATAAATGTTTGATTCAGTGACTCTTTGCAAAGTGTGTTTGCAAAGCATTTTGCATTTCTGAATACATGTACAAGATTAATCTCGATCATTTTTGTTAACGCAGTCAAACTTTTGCTAGCGTTCATAGCAGTCATCTTTTATTTCAGTCGTATTTTAGATAAATGATGCAAGTAGGGCTCTATATCAAAGTTGAGGGCACAGACAAAAACGTGTCAGTGGGATATGGAAATCCATGTTTTTGATATTATTAGTTATTTCATAATACTCTTTATTAAAAGATATCAAATAAAATATTGAAATTGTTATCGAATAATTAAAAAATAATTAATAATTAAAATAAAAGGGGTACAATACCTTCTTCCTGTAAGTCACACACATTGCATTATATATTAACATACATTATATTAACATATACATAACTCCCCCATCTGGTAGGCAATTACCTAGGGACTTTGCAACATCCCCAGGCACTTTCATAGACGATCCAGTGACGCAATAAAGTTACATAAACGCCTACGTGACAGTTAATCAAAACAACGGACCAGGGTTTCAGATGGGTTCAACTATTACAACATGTAAGCGTCCAGTCAAACATTCATCAAACAATCATGTTTTTCTCATTGTTGATATCGCACACTTTATTATTTCATGCGTACATATGCTCGTTCATTTAATAAATTCTATTCAATTGAGATGGAGATTTTTCGTCTCTTGCGAATGGTCGCTGAGGAAGTTGGACTAGCGAGAGCAATGATTCAAGGGATTGTCCGGCATTTCTGTCGCATCGGTTGGATACATCCCAAGAGCAGCCGTTGTCGACTGAAGGTTTCACAAGAAATCGTTTATTGAATTTTGTCAGAGATCTGAAGGATATTTGAAACTGGTATATGGTGACGGTGTGGAGGTGAAACTAAGTAGAATATTCCAGGGAAAGATGGACTGAGCAATGAGTGTTATGGCAACCATTATGCAAACATTAAATTGAACAGGACACTCACAACGATAATATTATTAATATAAATCCATTGATAACATCTCAACAAACTACCAATCAAAGGAATTTACGTTTATCATTTTTTGTTAATATTCATTCCCAGTTTTATGTTCGTATTATATTTTTTCATTGCAATGATTTTTGTACCCCACAACCCATTGGGCACACATCAAGGGCATACCGCATCCGGTGTTTTGATTAACCGTCATGTGAGTGGGCATGTAACTTTATTGCGTCATTGGAATGTCTAGGAAAGTGCCTGGTGATGTTGCAAAGTCCCTCGGTAATTGCCCACCAGGTTGCGGGAGTTAGGTTATGTAAGTATCTTGCACCCGCTGTAACAACAAATCGCTTCTGTGTCGTAAAAATAACACAGACTGGTGAAAACTTTGTTGTTTCTTGTGTAGTTTGTCAATTATAATATGGCTAATTTATAATTACTATAAAAATAGAACTTGATGAATGATCTCATATCGAAATAATTGTAATGCTGTGAACTTTGTCCATTGTTAGAGGGCGCTATTTATAGAAAAATGTATCCATGAAAAAAAATTGCTGTGAAACAATCAGGCAGTTTTTTATATTTTAATATTGTATATTTCTCATTCCAATCAGAGTCTTGATGGTCTCAAATATTTACTGGCCATTGCGTTAGATACCGTACCAAAGAACAAATGGGAAGACACCATGATTGCTTTGAAAGCTACTGCTGGGTTGCGTCTTCTGCCTTCTACACAAGCACAGGCACTGCTTGATGAGGTAATTATACAATTATTTGTGTTCATATGGTAAATCTGATGAAATCAATGTTTACATCTGTGTTGTCGGGGAGACTGAGAACGTTCGTTCATTCCAGCGCCATTTCGTTTCCGAGAAGAAATATACATTCACGCCTGATAAAGTATCTGTCAATTGTAACTTTGCAAAGAATCACTTTCTGATGCCAACACCTCAGCTTTAAAATGTAGGTAGAGTGGAAAGAAACATTATAAAGGGTAAGGCTTTAACTTCTCAGCAATCATTCACAGCGTGTGTTTGTTCATGCGAAGGGATCGTAAACTGCATCTGGTCAACCTTGCATACCGGGTAATACTCTGCATAGTTATCCATATTGAATACCTGGCAGTTGCATTGAGCATCGTTCATTTACCTAAATAAACCTTATATATTCATTCAATGGTGATAATGATTACAACCAAAATGTGAATAAATGATAAAAGTATGATGATAATAGAACTCCAAAAAATATGTGGCCAGCTGATGTTGCATCATGGGGTCAGCACCGGATTGATGCAATCTTTTAACAGCCACTATATTTATTAATCCTTATGTTTTTTATACACAACTGTTACCATAACAACTATTCAGGTTCATGCTGATCAGGTTTTTGTGGGTCACAGAGACATTATTTTGGTAAAATCGTTTCTCACACTTTCAGGTGGATATAGCCAACTTAGCTGTGATTGTTGAAGCAAAAATGAGATCATATCCTGAATATTGTCATAATATTAATAACAACAAATATTATCTCTTGTTTATTTTAATACCTGCCTATCACATCACATCACTTCGTAACCATTGCATAAATTTGAAAGCTTACACACCACATACCCAGTGATCAAATGCCACGTTATTTGCCGCCTAGTTGTTGTTTTATGAACTCTTCTGTTTTTTCATCGCTAAATTTAAACCTAATGGTCATATTTTCCTGCTTGCTGCATGTATCAATCAGAATTTTTTGAAAAATTATGGGAAAAATTAAATGATTTTATTTTTTGGAAATGACAATATTTGACATTGTTGTTCAACGGATAATGAATTCTATTCATGATCAAATTTTGCAGAACAGCAATGCAAGATATATGGTTCTCATGGCAACTTTGACTGTTGCGCAGATCAAGGATTACAAACTGAGACGTTAACAAGCATTAATGAGGTATTTGTAGGTGATTGGAAGGTATCGAATAAGTCACCAGTGGTAATTAGTGCAAGTCGCGCCCAGGTCAAACCTCATACTTGTGATTTCCATTAGTAGAGCACATTGGATTGTGGGAAAATCAATGTTTATCAACATAAATGTCATACATGCGCAGCACAACGACAACCACCCTTCAAATTAATTGTTCTCAGGTGCTACAATTGTAGAAACTAGAAAGAACATGTCATATTTCTGACACGCCTGGACTGGTCATGTTAAAACTTAACACATGTCACACATCGTTTGTTTCATGATCCATTTCCAGAAGGCCAAATGATGTTTATTTTAAAATTATTTAATTTTTAATTTTTGATAACTCAGTATTTCGTTTGTTTGTCTTGCTTGTCACAGGGCTGTGCATAACACACCATTAAAGTTTTGGTCAAATTATTGACCAAATTGGTGGTGCTTTGTAGACTAGCCCAGCCGTGGCAATTCTATAATTTTTTCTTAAATCTTGGTACGATGCGAAATTACCAGGACTGGTAATTCTGAGATTTATTCATTGCTATTAATTATTCATGATATGCAGTGATGTTATGGAACTGGAAGTGGAACACTTCCAAATAAGGAAAGTAGGTGCAATTCATGCTACCTACTGGTACTCATTTAAATATGTGTCACCTCGAAACCATGGTGACAACTATAGAGAGCTGGCAGAACAGACCAGTTCTGGAAATATCGTATCAACACTGGAGATTCTACAAACTCGTTCTTCAAGGAATCACGTAAATCAAAAAAATTACCATGACGGGGACAGTCAAGGTATTTATCCTTGTATATCATAACAATAAGAACTTCTCACAGTGTCATATTGAAGTCGATTCTACTCTTGGCATACAGTAATCTGAGTTGTTCTTAAGGTAGCGCGAAGGGTTTTGTGACGTTTTTGAAAAAAACATTCTGTCTGTCTGTTGTCTCATTCAGAAATGTAATTCAGCTTATATATTTCAAAGACTAAGTATAGAGGTACAAGTTCGCACAAACTGGACAGTCATTGTTTACATAATCACGTGACATTATGGTTGATGTAAATCAACAAATTATTTACAAGGATCCATTCTATAAAAACCTAAACATTTATTTATGAAATGGTTCCCCAACTGAATAGATAAATATTTACATGATTTCATCAGATAGTTTGACAAAATATTCATATTCATTTATCTTCATTCATTATTTACTTAGTTGCCTAATTTATCATGTGCATGGTTGCAGGTCTGTTGTGCTGAGTGCAAGTTTAATACAAAATTGGAGTTTATTGAGTTGTAGTGTCAAAAACAGCAGTTTGGTGTATTTCAAAATCCATGTTTATTTTAAATACATTTATAAATTTATTTTCTGAAAAGTCACTGTATTTTAACTTTCATTAAAATGTTTGTCTTTTAATGAGAATTTTTAAAGGCTACTTTAAAACAGAATAGCTGTGAAACACTCATGGTGTTAGAATACTGTAATTATCAGAGCATATGGATTGTTATTAAAACATAAGGCAGCCAAACTGACCATATTTTTATTGTTCTACTGTACATAATTTATAGATGTTTTCAATGGTAGCTTATCATTTCTAGAATAAGCAGGTTAATGACTTTCATCAAACTCCGACTTTTTTCATATTACCCCGGTAACACATTTTTCATATCATGTGATGTAATTGTTTTCTCTCTCTCTTGTACATGTACATATTCAAATATATAGCTGTTTTTTTTTCTAATTTTATTCTAATATTATGCCCTGTTTTGGTAAATGTTAATTAAATTGATTGATGATCAGATCTTCAAACTTTGAGCTCTCATTGAACTGCAGAATACAAAAAGGAGGTCATGTTGTGGCGTATGTCTGTTTGTATGTCTGTTTGTATGTCTGTGTAAAAACGTTGTTCCACTGATATCTCAAGAATCAGTTTATAACCAATTCAGATGGAAATCAATAATTATAGACCAAAATTACAACATCTGAATTGTTTTTTTGACAAAAATTACATTTAAAGACAATTTGGAAAATGTGTTGAAATGCATTGACCTCTGACCTAGAATATTAGAAACCATTGGGTAATATCCAGATACAACAGTTTGTAAAAAAAATGTATAATGGTTGCATGAAGTTTCATAATTAAAAACTACTTTTATTTCGAGAAAGAAAAAATTGTTGTGAATTTCACAAAATGTTGTCATCCTGAATGCATTTATCAACAAGTTGACAAGAGTCTTTCAACATGCAACATTCCATGAATCCTGGGCCAGCTTGACCACTTGTGAAATGTTATACTTGAGAGGGGTTACTTTTTTACTCGCATCACCATTGGTCTGTGTTCAACTGATGATAAGCCATTTCAGAGCATGATTTTTATCCCTATCTTGTTAATGGAATGTGTTTTTAAGA